CAAGGAAAAGAAAAAATGGACAGACCAAAAGGAGATTTCAACACTCCTTTCTCAGCAACAGATAAGACAAGTAGGCATAAAATCATTTTGGATATGGAACACTTGAACAGCATTATCAATAACCTTGACCTGATCGACATTTTTAGAACCCTACAACCAACAATGGCTGAATGCATATTATCTTCAAGTGCACATGGAACATGGATCATGAAAGACCACATGTTGAACTGTAAAACAAGTCTCAAATTTGCAATAGAATTAAATTATAAATCAATAACAAAAAGACATATAGAAGTCCCACCCCAAATATTTGGAAATTAAACACTATATATCACTATACGTCTGAGTCACCTATAGAAAGAAGAAATCACAGGGGAAATTAGAAAATATTTTAAACTGAATTATAATGAAGACACAACACACCAGAATTTGTGGGATGTATTTAGAGCAGTGCTTAGAGGGAAATTTAGAGCTTTCTATAAATTATATAGCTTTTTTCTAATATACAGTTAAATGCATGTATTAAAAAAGAAGAAAGTTCTCAAGAAGTCTAAAAAAAGAACAAAATAAATTTTAAAATAACAAGGTAAATTGTATGTATTGGCTTGGATAGAAAATCAGGATAATTGAACAAAAAAAAGCAAATTATATCGAATATTTACAGTATCATGGCAGATATATATTGCTCGCTGCCCTTCAATGTCTGTCCTATCTTTCCTTGAACATAGAATCCCTGATTTTGAGTTGGTACATGGCTATTCAGAATAAAATACCCTAGACACCTTTGCATTAAGTGTGGTGATGTGACTAATGAGATGTAAGCAGTGGTAATGTGTGCATCTTCTGAGAGGCGGTGCCTTTTCTGGGCTCCTCACCACTTCCTGCTGGCTGGAGTTTAGGATGTGATGGCTGCAGCTTGAGCAGCATATGGGATGGAAGACGATGGACCCAAAAGATAGAAGGAGCCAGGGTCGTGCACTGTGGAATGCATGCCAGCCTTGGGCTGCCTGCCTCTGAATTTCCTTTCTATGAGAGGGAAATATACTCCTATCTTGTTTCGATCACTGCTATTTTAGGTTTCATCCTTTGCAAGTAAATTCAGTCCTAATGCATATAAGTGTGATCCCATTTATGTGAAAAAAAAAAAATAAGCAAAGGAAGCCCGGCTGGCGTGGCTCAGTGGTTGAGTGTTGACCTATGAACCAAGAGGTCATGGTTCGATTCCGATCAGGGCACATGCCCGGGTTGTGGGCTCGATCCCCAGTGTGGGGCATACAGGAGGCAGCCAATCAATGATTCTCTCTCACCATTGATGTTTCTCTCTCTCTCTCTCTCTCTCTCTCTCTCCCTCCCTTTCTCTCTGAAAGAAATAAATATATATTTTTTAAACAAGCAAATTAAACCTACATACGTCAGATGATTTTGACTTTGATACAGAAATCCTCAAGATAATTTGCTTCAGCATTGAAAACACGCTATCTAACATAGCAACAAGTTCAGAGGTGGGGCCGCCTCAGGAATGGTTAAGTCAGTGGCTGGACTGCATTGTTAGTGACTTAGGCACTTCCCATCTTCCCGCTTTGCTGTTCTCTGACTAGATTCCGTCATAATTTCAGGATGTTGGCTACAGTTCCAGGCGTCATTCATACATCTCGGTGACCAGTAGAAGAAAAGGGACTGTCCCTTTCTGCTGAAGCTCTGTTTTTGTTTATGTCTTAGCACTTTTGTGAGAGCAAAGAAACTTTTTCTAGAACCTTCCAGCCAACTTCCCTCACACCTCATTGACCACAGCTGGATCGTAGTCCATCTTTAAGCCAATCTCTGGCTTAGAGCAATCAGGTTTATTCTTGACCCATGAAAAAGAGAAGAACAGCAAAATTGTAGCCCTGACAGCGTGGAAGAAAAGAAAACCCGCCAAATGTCTGCTTCAGCGTATATGTAAGTGGGCAAAAACATCTGGAAGGATACATCATAAAATGCTGACGGTGGGTAACTCCAGGGAGAAAGTGGACCTGGGGCAAGAACAAAAGGAGTTCTGTGACAAATGCCAAATCCACCTATTCAATGACCCATACCCACTTCTCCATTGCTCACCAAAGCCATCTTGTTAGGGCAGCAAGGGGTGAATTGTAATTGGCCCACGCCAGGTGTGGCAACCTCATTGATTTTTGCCAACTAGTTGCTTTCCCAACCTCTCTTGCAGCTAGAGGTGGCCATGAGACTCAGTCTGGCCAGGGAGGTATAAAGGGAAACTGCTGGGAGAACAATTTCCTCCGTGGCAAAGAGAAAACGTCTTTCTGACCTCTCCCCTCCCAGTCTGACTTGGGATACTGGTGTGAGGATGTGATGTTTGGAGCTGTGGCAGCCATATTGCAACCATGAAGAAAAAGCCTAGAGCGTTATGCAGATGCACACTCAGTGTCCTGGCATTTTCAGGCGGATGAATCAACCTTAGAATTGCCTACCTCTGGACTCTTGTTAGGAAATATCCTTATAAGGATTTCTATCACGTGTGGCTGAGAGCAGCTTAACAGACAAACGCAGCTATTTTCTATTGTTTTGACATAGCCTTATAATGAAAATCTATTATTTCTGTAATTCCAAGTTCGATTTAAAAAATATACCACTGGGCCCGGGCACCTTTGATATCCCAACGGGCCTGGAGAGGCGCTCTTGGAAAGGGGACTGAGAGGAGTTGAGCAAAAGGAACAAGCTGTTCTTTATAATATGGTATGAGGGGTGACCTTGCAGGCCGGGGGTGACTGAGAATACATTTCTCTATCACTATCTGGGTTTGGATCAAAGGTTACAAACTGTCAGCCTCCGGTCAGAATTTGGCGGTGGACATATTTTGTTTCTCCTGTCTAGGGTTTTTAAAAATTGGAATTAGCAATAATGATTTAAGGATTGAGATACTTCACACAAATATCTGGCTTGCTGGTGTTTGTGAGAAAAAAAAGAAGAAGAAGAAGAAGAAGAAGAAGAAGGAGGAGGAGGAGGAGGAGGAGGAGGAGGAGAAGAAGGAGAAATATCTGGCAACACGGGGTTCATATCCTAACAGCAGTAATAGGCAGCTTACTTGTGTCCCTCCCCAGGGGGCAGGACAGGTGCTTCCAATTTGCCACAGACCCTGATGCTCCTGAATGTCCTTCACCCAGTCTACTCCACTGATTTCTATCACCTTTCTGATACAGTGAGCATTTGAGTTAGTGCCTTTGTGTGTAATATTCAACGATTACTTTCTAGGCAACTGGCCCCATAAAATAGTCTCCAACCTCATTCACACAGGCGGGCAAACCTTGAAGGGACCTGGATTTGGAGTGTCACACTCTGGACTGTCCTGTGAGCCTGGAAGAACTAAGAACACCCTTGATTGTCCTGCGGGGCCACTTGCAGCCTTAATCCACCCCCAAGACCTCAGACTTCTGAAGATGCACTGCTCGGAGGGAGATAATTTGGAGGCGAGACTTCCGTCGGTGGGTAGGGAGTAGGTTTCTAAAAGGCAGATGGAGATGTGCCCACTGGAGGCTTGAAGAAGCGGGAGCTCTTGGAGAGAAGCATGGACTTGGGGAAGGAAAGTAAGGCCAGACCCTGGGAACAGCATCCCAGAGCTCCTGACATCCCACTAGGACGCGACCCCTTTAATGCAGGGCCTCTCCATTCATTAAAACAAGGTGGACTGTGTATGTGCAGAGAGAGAGGACCCGGCCACGACCATCCTCCATCCCTCACTCTCTCCTGTTATGGTGGGCAGAACAGCAGCTCCTCGAATTGTCCATGTCCTCGAATCCCTGGCAAAGGCGGATTAAGGTCAGAAATGGAATGAAGGTTGCTAATACACTGACTTTTTTTTTTGACTATTTTTTTTCTTATTGCCTAAAGTTTTACATATGTCTCCTTTTTCCCCAATTGACCCCCACCCCCTCCCAGCCATTCCCACCCCGGGCAAGCCCCCACCGGCCCAGGGTCTGTGTCCATTGGTTGTGCTAATATGCACGCACACAAGTCCTTTGGTTGCTCTCTGACTTTTAAAATAGGGAGGCTATCCTGAATCATTCGGGTGAGCTCAATGTAATCTCAAGGGTGGAAGGAGGAGGCAAGAGAGGGAGAACCAGGGAAATGGCAGCATGAGGCAGACCTGTCCCGACCTTGTTGGCTTTGAAGATGGAGGAAGAGGTCATGAGCCAAGGAAAGTGGGTGGCCTCTAGCAGCGGAAAAGCAAGGATATAGATCTTCCCTGGAGCCTCCAGAAAGAAATGCCACCTCGTGGACACCTTGATTTTAGCTCAGCCAGACCCATGTTGGACTTCTATTCTACAGAGCTGTAAAGTGATAAATTTGTGCTGTTTTAAGCCATCAAGTTTATGGTAATTAGTTATAGCAGCCGTAGGAAACAAATTCACCAGGCCAGGTGTAGGTGACATTCCAACTTCCTGCCAGTATCAACCTCCAGACATGAGAGTGATGACACCAGACCCGTGAGATAATTCTAGTCACTCCAGTCCCTGAGTTGCCCCGCCGAGGCCCCCAGAGAGAAGCTGTGCGCATTTTGCCCAGATTCCTGACTCACAAAATATGTAAGTATAATAAAATGACTGTTTTTATGCCACCGAGCTTCGGGGTGGTTTGTTTGGCAGCCCAGTAACTGGAACAGCCTTCTCTTCCAGCCTTGAACTTGAACCAGATGGGACTGGGGAAAACTGCACACACTGCTGAACCCAGAGCTCCCATTCCATCGTTTGTATTATTTTTAACTGAACCCTGAACTGAACAGAAGGGAGCACGGCTGAAATTGAAACCGAACTTGTATGTTTTTTCAAGCCGTGGAACTAGAGTATTCAGATATTCCCGAGACAGCATCACGTAGAGGATTCTACCTTAACCCCTTCACTCTGTGTATTTTTATTGGCCTGAGGTCACACGCCCATGGCAGAGCTGAGAGATTCATCATCTTTCTAAACAGCCAGCGATGACCCTCTCTACCCTCCTTCCCCTCCCTTCGCTGAATGCAGGAAGGATTGAATTGCCACATGAGACGCGAATTTCCCACCATCCAAGGACAGGGAGTCCCAGCCTGACCCTGATTCCTTGGGGGTCCCTGAGTGGAAGCTCTGTGTCCCTGGCTGAGATATTGGAACTTTCCATGAAGGTCAGTGATCCTCATATTCGAGCAGCCGGCTGGGGTGTGTCAGGATCCAGGTGGCCTTCATCTCGTCTGGATCAGGCCGGCACAGTTTGTGGCAAGGGGGGTGGGGCTCCGAGGAAACTCGGGGCCCCTGGGAGACGTTCATCTTTCCAGAGCTTTATCATTTTTTCCATAACACTACCCTCCCTTAAGGTGGAAAGTCCCAGCTGTCAGCTGAGGATACTCTCAATGTGCTTTTGTTCTCCACCCTGCCCCCAGCCCAGGCAGCGGGGTGCTGGCAAAGGACACCTCCCTCTTTATACCAGGCTGCTCCAGACTCGCTTGTACCGACAGACACTGCAATAACACCACGGGACTAGATTTCTCTGGTTCAAATCTTGGCTCTGCTATTTGCTAACTCTGCAATCCTGGCAGGGTATTGAACTTCTCTAAGCTATAGTTTATCTGGAAACTGGCATGGTGATAATATTGACCAGTTTTTTAAAAATATTTTTTTTATTGATTTCAGAGAGGAAGAGAGATAGAGACATCAAATGATGAGAAAATAAAAAAAAATGATGAGAGAATCATTGATTGGCTGCCTCCTGCACACCCCCTACCAAGGATCGTCCCAGCAATCCCATCATGTGCCCTGACCGAGAATCAGAACTGTGACCTCCGGGTTCATAGATTCAACCACTGAGCCATCGCTGCAATACTGACCAGTTTTGAGGATTTAATATATGAAAAGCACTTAGCACAGCACCTGATACATAATAAGAGTGATATGATTGTTTGCTCTTATTATTACACTAGAGGCCCGGTGCATGAAATTCGTGCATGGGTAAGGTTCCTAGGCCTGGTCAGCGATCAGGGCCGATCTGTGGGGTGGCTGGCAGGGTGATCAGGGGCGGGGGGGGGGGGGCCCTGCTGGCACCTGCCTTGGCTGGCCTGGGGCCTGTGGGCTACAGGCAGCTCCTGCGTTGAGTATCTGCCCCCTGGTGGTCAGTATGTATTATAGTGACCAGTCATTCTGCCGTTCGGTTGATTTGCATATTAGGCTTTTATTATATAGGATGACTTTGGGCAATTCATCTCCTTTCTCTGGGCCTCAGTTTCCCCAATTGTATAATGAAGACATAAGTTTCTCCCTAGTCTGAGAGTAAATCCTGAATGCCCTTTCCTGTTGTGTGGTCTTGGACAAATTTTTTGGGTTCTCTTAACCTCAATATGCTCATCTTTAAATGGTACCTACTAAGTGGGTGGTATGGTGGCGATGAGATGAGAAAATGTATAGCAAGCACATAGCATGGGGCCTAGCACACAGAAAGTATTAAAACAAAGTTAGCATCCCCCCCTCCCCCCCAGTATGTTTTTATGGATGAGAAAGAACTTTCTAGACTATAATTGGCCGTGTCCCTGGGAGGAATATTGTAGTTTTCTCACATGCTTTCCCACCCATACCTCATTCACAGACTCCTAGAATCAGAGAGGTCAGGATTGGAAGGGCCATTTTACAGACTGGCTAATTAATCCACTAAACAAATATTTACCGATTGCCTGTTTTGAGCCAGGCACTGTTGTAGGTGCTCAGGAGAGAGCAGCGTTGAGGGCCCTGCCCTCACGGGGCCTTCATTCCTGTGGGGGAGGCAGGCAGTAACCATGAGTACGTGAGTATGTAATACAAGTGCAGTTTCAATCCCTTTATTCCATGTGTGGGGAAACTGAGGCTCAAGAGGGGAAGACATTTTCCTAAAGTTCTCCAGTGTCATAGCAGGGCAAGGACTTCAAGCAAGTCTTCACAGTCTCAGAATACCCTACCCTCAACAAACCCTGGCTTCCCCAAGGTCTTATTATATAACTAGAGGCCTGGTGCACGGATTCGTGCACCAGTGGGGTCCCTCGGCCTGGCCTGTGGGGATCAGGCTGAAACCAGCTCTCCAACATCCCCCAAAGGGTCCTGGATTGTGAGAGGGCGCAGGCCAGGCCGAGGGACCCCACCAGTGAACAATTGGGGCCAAAGAGGGACCAAGGGAGAGCTCCAGGGCGTGTCCGGCCTGTCTCACCCAGTCCCGATCAGCAGGACCCCAGCAGCAAGCTAACCTATGGGTCAGGGCATCTGCCCCTTGGTGGTCAGTGCGCATCATAGCAACTGGTCAAACGGTTGAACAGTCGGA